GGGGGGGGGGGGGGCAGTTCTCACGTGTGGTGATGCTGCTGTTAGCAAGATGAGGGCGTTGTCCTCCGAGTTTCCCGTTTTGCGCGATGAGCTTCGGGCCCCTCGCTGCGGTTCCCTCACCCTCAGTTCCTCGTTGCGGATGGGGCAGCGAGACAGACGCGCTGGGAGGCAGACGGGACAGGGTCCTTCAGAGAAGGTGCGGCTGAGCGCCTGCCGAGATTTCGTCCTGAGCGGGGGTCCATTCGAGGCCCGATGGGCGTGGTTTTCCAAGGAATCCGTCGAGGACCGCGATAGATCTGCGGTCATTTGACCCCCCGCCAGAGGCATTTCCCGCCAGGATTTTCCATTTCGTTCCACCCTGTCCCACCGGTTCCCCAACACCGAGCGTGGGGACGGGGTCGCCCCGGGCGCCTGCCGTCTGTCCTGCGGCCCCGAGCGCGCGCGGAGCCTCCTTGGGTGTTGCCGCCGTTTCTGACGTTTGCAGGGAAGCCGTAAATATGGATTTCAAATTACATCTCTGGATGTGTTGTTGGCAGCTGATTTGAAACTTGCTATTAACGTTGTCGACCAAAATAAACCTGCGGGTGGGATCCAGCCAGTGCGGTCACCCCTTTGCAGCCTCTGTGTCACTTTTGGCTTTTAGTGTGAAACGATTTTAAACTCAGACATTGCAGAATGGGGCAGAGTCCCCTATGCCGCTCACCCCTCAGGCCCTGATGTTAATATTTTTTAAATTTTACTTTTGAACTACAGTCGACACTCAGTATTGCCTTGTATCGCGTTGGGTGTGCAGCACAGTGTTAGACAGTCGGGCCCTCGACGCGGCGGTCGGGCCTTGGCCTGTCCACGGAAGGGAACGGGGAAGCCAGTTCCCCACCTGAGGCCTCTCCTGTGACCCTCGTGTGTGTGTGTTTAATTCACACCTGGACACACAGCGTTTTTTGTTGTTATGAACCCTCACCTGAGCATATTTTTTCCATTGATTTTTAGAGAGAGTGGGAGGGGGGGAGAGAGAGAAACATCGACGTGAGAGAGATGCATCGACCGGGTGCCTCCCACACGCGCCCCATCCTGGGCCAGGGATCAAACCTGCAACCCAGGTACGTGCCCTTGGGCAGGAATCGAACCCAAGACCCTTCGGTGTGCAGGCCGAGGCTCTAACCACGGCACACACCGGCCAGGGCTGAACACACATCCTTTTGAGGTGTCAACCACAGATAACACGGGATTGATCTTATCGATTAAAATCTCGCTACAGTTGTCTCGATCCCGCCTGATAGCCTTTTCGGGAGCCGCAGGGTCTAGAATTAGCTGCCCTGGGTGACGGTGGGCTCAGGCGTTGGGGGCAGGTGCGGATGGCTCTGCAGGGCCCTGTGACCTGGGCCCCGGCTGCATGAAGGTGGAGGTGGCTTCCCAGGGTCCTGAAAGCCGCTGGGACTCAGGGGAGGCACCATCGGATGACAAAAGGAGCTCTGCGCTTTTTGGAAGCGTGACTTCTTTCTCCAGGGACTCCCAGCATTCAGCCCTGTAGGCCGAGGAGCTGGGAGAGGCGTCTCCATCCAGGAGGGATCTGGGCCGGGAGGGGCTTGGGGACAGCGCCTTCCGGGGTCCTGGACGCCTTCCTGTCAGGGGAGCATCTTGCCGGCCCAGGAGCCTGTGTGAGCCCCTGGGGAAGGCCCGTCTCGCCACACCCCGGCCTCCTGGCCACAGCTGGGCTCCGGCACCCTGGGCCCGGCTGCCGTGCGGTGCATCTGCGGAAGCCCGAGTCTCAGTCTCCGCGAAGGCACGAAGGTGCTGGTTTGGAGGCGGGAAGAAGAAAGGGCGGGTGGAGGTGCCGCCCGGGCCCAGGGCGGTGGCAGNCTGGCCACAGCTGGGCTCCGGCACCCTGGACCCAGCTGCCGTGCGGTGCATCTGCGGAAGCCCGAGTCTCAGTCTCCGCGAAGGCACGAAGGTGCTGGTTTGGAGGCGGGAAGAAGAAAGGGCGGGTGGAGGTGCCGCCCGGGCCCAGGGCGGTGGCAGGAGTTATTTTTGAAACGGAGCATTTCTGAGCCGGGAGCGTTTCTGAGCGAGGCCCGGGCCCTGCCGGGAGCGGAGGGGATGTTTATCATTCCAGAGGGGACCGTAATTGAGGCCTGCGAAGCCGAGTGCTCTCCAGGGTTTTGGGGTTTTCCTTTGAAGGTGGCTCTCTCATTTCTGAGGACGTTTTTGGAGGCCCGCTCGTTGGAGTTTAAATGATTTGCCCAGTGGGAAGCGTTTGTCCGAGGGCAAACTGGCTGCGTGGGGGCGAGCGGGGGCTCAGGGGGAGATGGATGCGCACGTGTGTCCCGGTCCTCGTGGAGGGGACCGTGGAGCAAGGCCCTGCGGCCCAAGTTTGAGGCACCTGGTTTTCCTGGCGCAGAGAGGGGTGCGGGCCCAACGGGGTCCCTGGGCCTGTCCTGAGGCCCCTTAGAGGTGATCTCCGACTTAAACCCCGGCTGGCCTATTGCCTGCCCCCTCCCTGTACCGGGACAGCCCATGGGGGGCACTGCCCACACTCCCGGGACACGTGGCCACGCTGCCCTGTCTCTGCCAAGTACTCGGAGTCCTATCAGCTCACCTCGGTGGTCGGGGTGCAGGGGGGTTGGAGCGGCAGGTGCGTGAGCCCCGCCTGGGTTCTGACCCCCAGGTCGCGGTGCAGCCTGTGTCCCGTGGGGTTTTCTCTTTCACAGGATCCGTGGTCCTGCTGGCGTGGCCTCGGTGTCACCCCGAGATAGGCATCAAGCTTTATTTATTTTTCCCATTATGGGCATCTCCTCTCCCTCGACACTGAGATGAGCCCCACCCCCCCCTGTCGTAAATCAAGGGACTCGTCACAATCAAGCCTTTTCCACGAGGCCTGTTCTGACTCGGCTCCGTGGCTCTGTTTTGTCCTGAGCTGACCCCTCACTGTCGGGACCCCACGGCTTCTAACGGGTCCCCTAACCGGTCCCGGGAGTCCCACCCTGGTCCCCCCGCTTTGTTCTCTGGGCCGCCTTGGCTCGTTTCCCTGTGAGACGCACGTTTTAAAATCGATACACGTTGCGAAACTGCCCTTCAGAAAGGTCGTCGCAATTTTCCTTGTCGCCGGAGGGGCCGCCGGGCGACGTCACCGCCCAGACTCTGCTGGGCAGAGGTCTCGGGCTTGTTGTTTGTGTTTCCTGGATTATTAGCGAGGCCGACGCCTTTCCCGAGTGAATGGCCGGTTCACGGGGTAATTTTTCATCTGCCGATTCCTTGCTGACACCCCTGAGCTCTCCCGGGCCCAGCATTAGCTTGCTGCGCGTCGTTGCCGTCGGCCGCCCACATTTTTTATGTTCACCGGACCAGGAACAAGCTGAGAATTTTTTATATCCTCAGATGTATCCACTGCTTTCCCTGGAAGAAGGGGCTGTATCCTGTCCTGTTGCTACTGTAGCAAGTTCCCACAAACTAGGGGTTTAATTTGTTACTTTACGGCTCGGAGGTGGGACCTCCAGCCTCAGTCTCGCGGTGTCGCCGGCGGATCTGGGCTCCCGGGGTGCTCCTGGGGGACACTGGTCCCCCTCTTCTGTCCTGCCTCCGGGAAGACGAGCCGGGCCGGGGAAGGGGTCCCGGGCTGGGCTCCGCGCTGCAGGGCAGAGGGCCAGCCAGGCGCCAGCCAGCTGACGTCCGTCCAGATCGGTCATTTATTCCCCGATGATGACAGGGTGTCGGTCCTACGACTTTTTATAGCCCACATGGAAGGTTCCTGTCCGCTGAGGAACCGGCTGCGTTTGTGGGCAGGAGGGATCGTTTTCAGATAGGCGAGGCCTCCAGGGTTTCAGGGGACACACCCAAACCCGGGGCCCCCATCCGGAACCGGGTCCCTTGCGCTGGGCCTCAGAGCCTGTGTCTCTCTCTTGCAGTTCTGTCCCCTGAGCTTCAGGCTGCCGAGCAGTCGGGGTGCTCGGAGGTGTGGCCGGGACACCGCCGCCTTGTGGGCCTCCAGGTCCTCGCTGGGGCTGAGCCACGGCCACAGCAAGAAGAGGAAGAGAGGAGGGAGGGAGATGAGAGCAGTGTCCAGGCTGGGGGGGGGGTCACTGCCGGAGGAGAGAGATCAGCATGAGCACAGAAAAGCGGGTGCTGCTTATGG